GTAATATTATGACTTTATTCTCGCAATATTATGACTTTATTCTCGTAATGTTATGACTTTATTCTCGTAATATTACGACTTTATTCTCATAATATTATGACTTTATTCTCGTAATATTACGACTTTATTCTCGTAATGTTATGACTTTATTCTCGTAATGTTATGACTTTATTCTTAAAATTTCCAAAAGAAAAAATAATTATTTTTTCTCTTAGTCACCCATCGTAGAGTAAAATGTATGAAAGGACAGAATTATTTACAGGTCAAAGAGTCTTTTTTTCTACCACTATTAGTTACCTGGAGCGGTGGAGTAAGCGTAGAGGAAATCTGCCTCCACAGGAATCCTCTCTGATGTTTGCTCACTCACGCTGTCGGTCTCGACTCCGTCGTCCAGTTGTGACCCACGGCACGCCTAAAGAAAGGGACAGGAGATCCAGGTATATGTGCTCATTAATTCTAACAGTACTGAGACTCTGTAGACAGGGAGTGTGGTTTAAAAGCTACAGTAACAACCAGCGGTGGCTCATTTACTCTAATGAGTTCATTGTAGCTCCCAGCGCTCTACGGCCCCCGGGGGCCAGAGCTCCCCAGGCTTCACAGGCACCTGGCGCTAACAGCTGGATGAGGTATTTTAAAGTGGACTGGCTATGCGATACTAGGCTTTATCTGAAGGGACAGGCACTACAGACTTTTCTCTTAGGCCAGAATTAGAATATGCTGAAAGGTTATTATGGCTTTAAGGGATTAAGATTTAGTTGGAGTCACATGTCTGTCATGTGTGAGGTGTCACAATGAGCACAGGATTTTGACTTTTGCACATGAAGTGTTCAACTTCTTTTATTTAAACCTTGGTATCACACACTAATACACAGTAAAAGAATAATATGTTGATGTTGAGACGATATTTTCACACGTTCCTGCACCTGCCTTTTAAATTATTTGATTATTAATCATTATTTTCATCTTTTATTTGACAGTTTTAATGTTATTTTCCTACATTAAAGTCTAGCTGTTTCAAAGCCCTCTTCCACAAAAATGTGTTAGCCGAACGTAGGCAAATTTAAATATATTCAGAGGAAATTATGGGAATTAGACTACAAAGTACCAATCATTTATTAGTTTTTAGCTATAGAATGTAAACTCCCTGCAGGCTGCTAAATTCCTACATAGTGTCCTCAATAGCTGGCTAGCTAAAGGCCTGTCTACAAGCATCCTCAGACACATATCACCATCTGTATGTGTGTGTGGAGACGTGGGTTCATTAAACTAACCTGTACGAAGAAGAGTTTCGGTTTCCCCACCAGACTCTTGCAGCGATCTCCTTTAAAGTGTTTGGTCAGGTTTTCAAACTTCTCTGCGCCGTCAGTTCCATAGATCACCCCCTCATCTCCGTGACTCAGCAGCACGCACACAAATGATGCACTTTGGCTGTGGTCCTCCTTGGATACTACAGACAGACAGACAGTAAGAGAGTTACACTGCCAGTCTAGATACATTTTACTCGCTTGTTTTAATTGCGATATATTTATCGCATTTTTCTTATTTGTATTATATACAAAAGTTCTTTTACATAGGCAACTAAAATTGTGCAATATATATTATCTAGGGTTTTTTTTTTTTAGATAAAGGTTTTATATCTGCATATATCTATTTTTTTGACTGCCTCTCCTCTATTCCTGTTGTGCTATGTGCCATTGCAACGTAATTTCATTTTGATGCAAATCCAAATGACAAATAAAGTCTAAGTCTACCTAATATACAGTAGGTGCAGTGATTTCACACCCAGAGGAGTTACTCATTAAAANNCTGTCCGATATATCAATAAGCATGTAAATATTAGTTTACTGCAGTCTTTTCCCATCGACAGCTTAGGGTAATTGAAACGTTATTGTGTATACCTCCACTGTAATAAGATCAGTGATCATATTGAAGCGGCGGCTTGTTGAGGTCTAACGCCTGTCTACAAGTTTAAATGAGCCGACACATCTTCCTCCACTTTGGCAGTGATCTTCTCGTCCTCTATGACCAGATTTAGGGAAGCGGGTTGCCATAGAGACTGCGGTGCCCTGCTGTGTGCCACTCTCTCTTTCTGTTCTCTCTGCCAGGTACCGAACATGGAGATGGATTTTAAAGTCCTATGTAGTCAGCCAACAGCCTGTGTGTGCAACGAGCAGAGGTGTTGCTGCGTGTGTCCTCAGAGGGTGGTACAGTTTTCATATTTATTTCCTCTTCCACTTCCATCATGGTATTGGTCACGGTAGCCATTGCATCCTGATTGTTTAACTCGACCTGTGTTTCTGACAGGGATTTTGTTAGCTCTGTGTTTTCTGGATTAACTGCTCTCTTCTTGATATCTGCCATGAAGAAATCCAGCAGATTTTCTGGTAGTACCAAGGATAGCCTGGTTAATCACCAGTTACAATGCTGAGTGGAGGTCTGGAGCAGGTCTCAAATGTATGGAAGCCCATTTCTGCCAGCAAAAAAATAAATAAATAAATAAAATGTTTGGAATGACAAATCTAAAAATAATCAAAATGATATGATACAAAGTCAAATCTGCGTTGTGCGGTTGAATCGTTTGCTCTTTTGGTACAATTGTTTTTGGTGTAGACGTGATCCAACCTCAATCTGACCCAACTGCAAGAATACGTTTGAAAACACGCAATCACATATTTTATACTTGAATTCAATTTTTATCTTTAACTAAAATTCTGACGTTGTGTTTCCTACAGAGCTGAAGGATTAGTCCATTAATCGATTACTCGTATCAACAGAAAATGAACCAGCAACAATGATGATTTAAATGATGATTTTCAAGCAGATATGTTCTGGTTGCAGCTTCTCACGTGTGAGAATTTGTTGCTTTTCTTTGAATTGAATATCTTTGGGTTTTGGACCGTTGGTGGGACAAAACAAGCATTTTTATGACTTTGTAAGCTTGCCTTCTGGGAAATTGCAGTGTGGATTTCTTTATATATTACATGCCAAACCAACTTCTAATTAATGAGTAGAGCAGTGGAAAACAGCAGATTCATCAGTTTCATTTCAGTCATTTTTAAAACAAGAAAGCCAAACATTATCTGGTGTTAGCATCTTAAATGTGAGGATTTCTTTCTTTCTTATATATGATAGTAATATACTAACTATTTGGGTTTTGGATATTTGGATAAAAGAGGGAATTGTAAGATTCATGTTGGACTTTAGACATTATAATGGGAATTTGTCACTATTTTTTATTCATTTTTTTTACATTTTGTATACAATATACAAAATAATCAGCAGATTTATAGATTGGAATAATCATTGCATTAACAATGACCCATGGCTTTATTTATTTATTTTTGGGGTAATTCCTAACTTTTTATCAATTTGTTTCCTGGCAAAACAGGGCTTCCATACATTTGTGTAGAGGAATTACATTAATGTTATCGAATTAATGTGGTCATGATTTATTAATGTCGCACCTTTAATGAATGGAAAACCTATCTGTGTTATCATGCCTGACCTTGACAGATGGGACACGTGTCACGTGTTTCTCCACACGGTTTAGTTGGATCACTCTTTGCAAAAACAACAAAACAACAACAATATAAAACGAGGTTTGCAGTGGTCAAGTAGCAGATTGATAGAAAGAGGACAGATTGTTTGCAGGCTTCGCTGTTATGTCTACTAAAGGTCCAGAATTAACATCTCTCATGATTAATGCCATGCTATTTCGGAGAACCTGAACAAGCCTTATCTGTGAAACTAATACTCACTTTCATGAAATGATGCCGTGGATCAGGTAGCCACTTTATTTCCTTCTTAAGACATTCATCCCTTTGCATTTCCCTCTTATAAGGTTACCACTCTGCATCTCTCCTGCATGTATCTAAGAGGTTTTTGGCCTGGAGACGTGGATTTGCTGTGAATTATTTACAGGAGAAGTTTATTCGTCAGAGCTGATGGGGGGGGAGCTCATTACCTGAGAGCCACTAACCTTGTTTCCTATGACGTGTGTCACACAGAAGATGCTTTCACCGAACTTGAATGACGTGTTTTTAAGGAAAGGGAGCACTTTGTTGGTGTTGGAGTCCCTCGTGCTGCCTTCTGCTTCTTCTCTCGTATCTGGCTCACTGGCCACCCTGTTGGTGAACTTTTCAAATAGCTCTCACAGCGTCTCCTGAAGGACGCAGAGATGGCGATGGAAACCTCGGCGGTCGTCCGGCTACGCTACGAAGAGCTGCTGTTTTACGCGGCCTGCGTTTGTAACGGCTGGTGTTTGTTTCTGTGCGTTTGTGTGTGTCTGGAGGGCAGAGCGTGTAGGAGAGGAGCTGGCGGTGGCATGCGCGTGGGCAGCAGCTGGAGATGGCAGCTGTCGCGGGCCATGCGACTAGCGCTGCGCTGGTGCCGACTCGGCCGCCCACAGAGGGGAGGCCGAGGCGCGGGGGCCAAGCCGTGGATCAGCGGCAGGGTTTTGGAGCTGTGGAGCTACAGCAAGCTGCTGCTGAAGTCACTGTACTTCAACAGCCTCACCAACTCGGACACTCTGCTGGACTGTGCGTTCGAACCCGTCTACTGGATTGTGGACAACGTGACCCGCTGGTTTGGAGTGGTGAGCTGTTGCATTTCTATTGTGGATGCTTCTCGTCTCTCCACACCTCCGAACCACGCTCTCCCTCACCCGCTCTTGTCTCTCTCTCCCAGGTGTTCGTCTGTCTAGTCGTAATGCTCACGACCTCAGTTTTGGTCATCGTCTACCTGTTCGTCCTGCCCACAATCCTCAGCACTTACCCACTGCACTGGGTCATCTGGCACCTCTGCTGTGGCCACTGGCTTCTTGTCATGGTGGTCTTCCATTACTACAAGGCCACCACCACCTCCCCAGGACACCCACCCAAGGTACCAAAGTGCTCAGGATAATACTGACACGATGCAGCAAGATTTATGCAGTACTTCGTGCCACCAGGTTAGATTGACTTCTTCTGTTCCAGTGAGACAATAATACAGCCTTCTATTTTATGTTCATTGTAGGACAAAATGAATATTCCCTCAGTGTCCATCTGTAAGAAATGCATCACTCCAAAACCTCCCAGGACACACCACTGCAGCATCTGCAACATGTAAGATAACCAAACAAGAATGCTCGTGCACAGTTTGTCTGGTTTTTGTCGTCTTTTTAACCCTTCATGGTAAACTGCCTCTCTTGTATTTAAAGGTGTGTTTTGAAGATGGACCACCACTGTCGTATCCTTCCTAACAAGCAACACACAAAACCGAAAGAAAATGCATGAAAAAATTATGATTTTTTTTTTTAAATGTTTGAAATTTTATTTAAGCTTCCCACTTTGTACAAGTTGAACTGAACATGTTTCCAGCCTGGCTGAACAACTGCGTGGGCCATTTCAACCACCGCTACTTCTTCTGCTTCTGCCTATACATGACCCTGGGGTGCATCTACTGCAGCATCAGCAGCAGGGACCTGTTTATGGAGGCCTACAGTGCCATAGAGGTGAGCCCCAATAACCCCCAGACTACTGCCACCTCACACACAAACCCTGCTGTTATTTTTGTTAGCATATAACTGGATTTATTTACTCTCCTGATGAGGTTCGGCGAGGTGTCGCTAATGGTACGAGCAGAGACAGTCCAGTTGGCGATGAGCTATGAAATGTTTGTTCCATTGGCACCTGCCAGACGGTAGTAAGAAGGCAGAAGTCGCGCTCAGATGGCAAATGACAAGCGAAACGGGAGACATGCGAAAAGGATCTTCGCTCTCTGCTCTCATATTTATCTGATCCAGGATGGTCTTATCTCAAAGGTGATTGTGCACCAGCTGGTAAACAAACAACTCCAGGCCTCGAATACCAATTAGTTTGAAAGTCCTCCTCACCCCAAGATCACTTAATTAGGAATAGGATCCGGCATGTTAGACTTGTATCACACCCATATTGTAAGAGGCCTTTTGATCCTGAGCCAAAAGGCCCTCAGGGAGCAGTGAGCTGAGACATCCTCGGATCTGACCTGAAAGTAAAATAACTGTCTGACAAAAGTGTGAATACTGTCCCCTTCAGAGATATTATCAGACCCCTCCACCAACCGAAGCCTTGAGTGAGACCGCTGCCTCCAAGAGTATCATCTTCCTCTGGGTGCTGACAAGGTAAGGAGCGTTTCACAACGCGTATTCTCCCCGCGTTTAGAGATCAGATAAAGGTTGCTTACGTGATGCAGAAAGGTCATGTTTTATTGTCTCCCCCCGCAGCTCAGTGGCAGTAGCTCTGGGAGGACTTACCCTTTGGCATGTCATACTCATCAGCAGAGGAGAGACCAGCGTGGAGCGGCACATCAACCGCAAAGAGACCAAAAGACTACGAGAGAACGGCAAGGTACATGTGCTCTTGTGCTGTCAGTATGGGGCCACTGTTAGCTTTGGAGTATAACAATCATGACTGACACGAACGGCACAAAGCTTAAAGTGTTGAAAATACAACTTTGAAAATGGTTGTTAAAAGTTTCTCCTGTTCTCAGGTGTTCAGAAATCCATATCATCATGGCAAAATGAACAACTGGAAGATACTGTTTGGTGTAGAAAAAAGGAGGTGAGTTCAGTTACCCATTGTCTTCAAATGGTGCCTGTATCAAAATTGATTTGGCAACACCTTTAGCTACCGTGGTAAGTGCAGTTTAATACTACAGCAAACACTTGTTGAGTAGCTACTTTGTCAGTAATACAAATGAAGACTAACTGATGTATCTGTTTACAGTGCAGTCAAAACAATGCATTAGCTTTAATGTGAGACGTCTCTGATACGTAGTAAAGACAGTGAACAGTGGTTAGGAATGAGATAAAATGACACTGGATTACCTACATGCATTGTTTCCTGTGAATCCCTTGTGCATGTGAAGGCAATCTGAATCTGAGCAGGAATGGCGGACTACGCCACTACAAATACAAATTGCTATATACAGTGATGACTGAATATAAATACATTGAATAGCAATTGAACAAAAAAATATGCACTACAAATAGTTTCAAAAGTGGGGCTTGATTTCATGAAAATGGTCACATTCCATCTGAATTCTGATTAAGTCACAAGTTTTCTCATGTAAACCAATCCCTGACTCCTCAACCAGACTACATGTTTTAAAAAGCCCTTCTGTTCCTCAGTCACTGGTTCACGCGGGTCCTCTTGCCCTCCAGTCATCTTCCCAACGAAGACGGCATCATGTGGGACTGCACCTTCACCAGGAGAGACCCCATGGCCATCTGAGAGACTTTTAACGTACATTTACACTAAAAGCAACATGACTGATGTGTCACACCAGCTAAGAAGAGAAGCTCCAACTTCATCTGTTTTGATCGCTGCTACGACCATTTGAAACTTGGTCGTAAATCAAGAGCTTTTTGCTGCGTTGGAAACACATGGATATAACCACGTGTGACTCATTTTCTTAGAGTGAATGTTATCATTTCCCAGCTTTACACCTGCCACCAGTCGCCCTTGTACAGTAGGTCTAACTGTAGACCATGCCAGCAGCAGACTGCAGTGCTGTTGATTCATTTTCTTTAGAAATGGTGCTGCTGGCCAGCATCATAGTCAAGACCAAACCCATTTGTAAAGACCCGACAAAGACTTTTTGTGCATTTCTTGGACTATAAGTCTTGCACCAAGTGTGATAGGAGGCAGCAGAGAGGGAGGTTTGCATTGTGTATGTTCAAATTGCCTACTGCAGCTTTAAGACTACAATTCCCAGATACTTTTTTTTGGCTTTTACTCTGTTAACTTTAACCTATTTATGAGTACCATATTCCTGATTTCTGATACAATAACAAATTCAGGGCACCCCGGTAGCTCAGCTGTAGAGGGTTCGATTCCAGCCAGAGCGCTTTGCCGGCGTGTCGCTCGCTGCGCCTCTCCCCTGCCTTTCCTGTTGCTCTAAATATTGCAGAAATGCCAAAAAAGGACTCAAATGCAGATGGTCTTCTCAGAGAAGGTCTCATTTATTTACAGTTTTAATGTGCTTGTGATTCATTCATGAGAATGCGCCATTAATGCTGTATTGAGCCTGGGCCTTGTTGCTTCTTTAAGAGGTCTTTTAGTGTTGATTGGAGTTTGTCCATAGTAACTGTGTGTATGTGTCTTGGGCAGATTTGACAAATCCAAATGTTTCTTTACGTGAGGAAGGAAAGTCCAGATAATTTCAATATTAATTTTTGATTTTAAACGTCCTGTGATGATTTAAATAATGTTATATTTAAAAGAAAAGTGATTTAAGGTTTACTTTTCGGCTTGTTTACACCTGCAATATGTTGCCCTTGTGTTGTGTGCTGACAAGGTTGAGAACCACTGCTGTGAACTGATGTTCTGGTGCCGAAGAAGAGCTAAAAACCAAGAGTTTGATTCACTTGTCTTAAATTTCTGACTTAAATCTTTTCCTTAAATGCCAGTGTAGAACAAAAGAACTAATTTTTCTCACCTTTTACATTTCATTCTTAAAGACTTATGAAGCCTGTGCCTTGTTTGGTTGTTCAGCCTTTTAATATGAGGCACTTTAAGTGATTCAGGCACTGTGAAATGTAATTCCAAATTTCACCCCAACATGTTCATACCTGTAACCTAGTGGTGGATGAGTTGGATCTGTAGTTGCCATAGAAACATGACGTACAGCTGTGATATCATTTGTAACCAATGGGAGCTGTGCTCCAGTTTGATTTGTCTTTTTTAATAAAATACCTGTTTGATATTTCTTCATTTGGAGGTGATGATATTTAACACAAAAATGACATTACATGCTTTTTGTATAATTACAAAGAAAAGTTTTAATGACATTTTAAGTTAGACATTTTAAATATTGTCTATTTCCTTGGCATAAGTTGATGTGAGGTCCAAAGTCAGCCAACCTTACTGCAATGACTCAGCTATGAAATAGCTTCAGTATTTGTTCAAATATTGACAGAATACAAGGAAGATGTTTGACACATTGTTCACATAACTTACAATCTCAATTCAATATACACTAATCCTCAGAGATATTTAATTATGTAAAATCTTAAAATTTAACCCACGTTAGTGGTAGTGTGATACATATAGAAGTGCTGGATTCAGGTCACCCTGTGAGAGGACACTTGGCCCATCTACATTTTCTCCACCCAGCTGGGCACACCGGAGTGACACGAATCAAACACACTCGCCGTTGTTCAGACATCACTGCTCAGTTACACATTCATCCAGATGAGAAGATAAAAGGCTGTCCGTGTCTGCTGGGTTCAGTGCTGCAAGTCCACATCTTTATATGCAGTGAAGCGGACATCTTTGATGAGTCTCAAAATTAAGTAAAACGAGAAAATGTTGCTACCACAGTTCAGAGATCACTTCAGTATCAACTCCTATATGAAGAGAACACAGTTGACACATTCAAAGTGCATTCAACAAGAGCCATTTTGAATTTTTTAACTTAATTATCTTTAACTTTCCTACTAGACTATATAAAGTTTGATTAGGTTTTTTTTTTTTTTTTAAGTAGCCATTTTTGGATTATTTTGTTAGTTAATTGCCAGAAAATCAACTGATAATACTGATTAATCCCATTTATTCAAATGAACACACTAAACATTCAAAAATACCGTGCTTCATGTCTTTAGGATTACATGATCATTGCTGGAGAATTGTTTTAGCTGTTGATCTGCACAGTAGGAAACCTAAAAGAGAAAACTTTGGGCTCTTGTGAAAGAATGCACTTTTTTTTTTTTTCAAATTATGAATAACCAAAGGCCTCCCTGCAAGCTGATGTTACTTTTTCTCCAATACACAGTGAGAAACAACATACATGAGGGGTGTTACATATTAAACAAACTGATCACTCTCGTTCTTTAAACTTAGACAAGGCTCCACGGTCGGTCCATATACTCTTACTTGTGCGTTTATGAAGATACAGACAGTTGCAACAAAAACATTTCAGTAAAAAGGGAGAGATGATGAAGGGTGGAGGGATTGTGGTTGAAATGATGACAGTAGGAAGGATAGAGGGATTCTGGAAGATCCAAAGACGAGTGGGGGGTGTGGGGCCGGGAGAGGGAGCTGTTGTGTGGCCTGCACAGCTTTGATACTTGGTACCTGGTCCTGGAGTCCGATCTTCCCTCATCTGTGTTCTTCCAAGTTTAGGGAAGATGGGATAGGAGTAAATCACCTTCCCCCAGGACTTCCCATCAGGAACCTGTGAGGAGGAACCACAGTGCAGTAATGGGTACCTTTCTAACGTCCATGTGCCAATTTAACAAAGAACAGGACTTTCAGATTTGCCTCCTGGAAAAAGAAAGCAACCTTTTGTTTACTTTGTTTTAAGAATACGGACATTTTGTCCCTTAGCATATTGAAACTGGATTCACATTAAATTGGGATTTTAGAGGAGAGATTAGCGAGGGTGAGCAGGATAGTCCGAAACAAAAAACTAAAAGGAGAAATCTGTCATGACAAACGTGGTACACTGTGATTTCTAATGTATTTAGGATTTTAATATCCTGGTGGGATCTGATTCTTACCACTCTGCTCTTGCCTGAACCGCCTCGCTCCTCACCAGCCTCTTCTTGTCGTCCAGAGGCCGGGCCAGAGCTCGCAGCACTCGGGCCCGAAACGGCAACACCTGAAACAGTGGAAAATGTTGAAAGAAGTATTCTATTGGAGTTCCTAAATTAATGTAATGCATGGAAGTTATTAGAGTATCTGTATAGTTTCAATGGGTGAAGAAGGGCACTATTTATTTTATAACAGTATTGTGTTCTTCACTACATATAAAACCCAAATTAGTTCATTGGAAAAGCCACATTTACTGTATGGAAGTGGAGGGAAATTAAGAGCTGGAACATTTTATTCAATATTCTTCAAGGAACCATCTGATGTTCCCTGCTGTAACAAATTCATGAAGTTTCCTTAAAGCTTGTTTTTATTTGTGTAGGTCAAGAAGAGACTCTAAATTTGAGATTCTGAGAAAGTCAAACTTGACAACATGTAAAACATGGACAGTTTTGAGCGTTACCTCATGAACGGGGAAGAGGGAAACAGCATGGATGCACCGCAATGAGGCGATCCTTACGTTCTGAAGGACACAAGAAACAAAATATTGGTTCCAGCTGTGACTAAAGTTCATGTTACATAATGAGCAGCTTCATCTGACTAGACACACGTTGTATAAATGCAGTCCATTTGCCATTTAGCAGGTAAATGTTAAACCTCTCTCTCAGGTGTGATATCTCACTAACCATGGATGGACTGGAGGTGAGGGGCAGCAGCCTGCCGACCAGAGCCTCTAGCTGCTGTATGAGCGCTGGTGGTGGGTCGACAAGGACAGGCTCCAGACAGGACAGGGTGGAGAGCTGGACGCCCCGGTCCGGACATGACAAGGCCTCCAACAGCAGAGACAGGAGCTGGACGGGGACAAAAACATTTATGCTGACATTTTTTTTTTTTTTTACTGAAGATTTAAAACGAAGCACTATTTGAAAATGACTTGCAGTCTCCGCCGCAGTTTGCTCTTTACTCACCGCTGGTAGTTCAGTGACTTGAACCTGCTTGGGCAGTTTGTTGACTATGTTAGACAGAGCCTTCAGGTAGTTGGGCTTCTTCTCTGTAGGGGAGGCAGACAATGAATAAAGATTATCTGTTACCTGAGATGAAGACCAGAGAAAGAGTCTAAAACCTCCAAAACCTTTCACTTTTCATTAGTTCTCTTGTGGAAATTTTAGATATTTAGTTTCAACTGTCCTGTAAATGTTATCTATCTATGGTAACTTGCAACTATATGTCGGCCTAGGTGAGAATAATCTTTCACACACTGCACTTGGTGGATGTTAACTGGTTTAACTATAGAACTAAATAAAAACTTTTTACTCTTCTGTACATGTCCATAAATGTTCACACTGCAAATGATCAAAGGTTGTATTTCCTTCCCTCATTTCCTCTTTCTTCTTTATATGTTCAAATATTACAGTCCAGCAATCTTTGTATTCATGTCAGCAAAAGACCTCAAACTGCTGTGAACAATGTAGTCTTTTTTCTGTGATCATTTGTGGACTGTCTGTACTGGATAGCAGCACAATTCTGTCTGCCAAAGTGCCTTTAATATCAGAAATGTTCAAGTTATACACAGAGGATTTCACTGAATTAAGTTGATTCCATATAACCACTCAGCAGTGCCGTGGCCTCGTACCTTGCGGCGCAGCGTTGAAGCCCTGGACCAACTTGACCGAATTCTCGCTGAAGAAGCGCTGACGGTACATGATACGAACATCGGCGTGGCAATCGCGGTTCAGGACGTCGGGAGAGTCGCTCATCAGCAGCGAGAAGCCGTCTGCTGCCATCGCACCGAGGTCAGCGTCGTCGAGCAGAGAGAAGAGCTTCAAAAGTACACAGTGGAAGGACATTAGAACCACTTTATCTGGTCTGCAGCTCATCACGGCACAGTTGAGAACTGGTCCCACTGTATTTAATAAAGTATGTATTATAGATGCACGTGCTCCTGTTTTCACCTTGTCAGTCAGTGCTGTGAACATAGGGTGGTATCTGAGAAGCAGAGCCTTGGCAACCTGGAAACAAGAGGAAACAGGAAATAAGTGAGATAAAAAATGTATAGTCACATATATATATATATAAACTAATGATGCAAACAATCAGCAGCAGACACATTGAAGACGGTGCGACTCGTACCCAGATCATGTGGGTGAAAGCCTGAATGCGTAGAGATGAAGACGCAGAGTCCAACTCACTACACACTCTCTTCATCGTGCTCTGAATTAGGCTGTCGAGAGAATCACCTGAAGAAGAAAGCAAACCATCACAGCCGCTTTTAGTTGACAAAGTGAGGCTCAGCTTTGGAACAAAAAGCAGGAGAGCAAAGACACCAACTGACCCTGTGCTCTCTTATTAACCAGGCCAGCGAAGCACTTTGCAGCCGAGGTGTACGACAGCGGGTGGCTGCAGGTGCAGCTCATCTCCTCCAGCTGTGACAGCAGCTGATCCATCTGAGGCACCTCCACCTAGATCACACATACAGCACTCAGAAGTCAGCTCCAGTACCAGAAACAACTACATTTTTTAAATTAAAAACAGAATTCAAGTTGAGACTCACACTGCGAGGTAACGAACACACACATCCCATGAGCAGACAAACCATCTGGGACTGGCTCCATGAGTCCCCCTGCTGCTTCTGGGGAAACATTACGAGCATTAATAACCACACTCTTTAAGTAACAGTGACACTGCAGTGAAAAATAAGTAATAACTGACCCTTAAGTTAGGGATGGAAAATAAAAATGATACGAGATACAAAATTCTACAGTTGCATTTTTATGATAATCTCAACAAGAAAATCAAATAAATGAGTCTATAAAGTATAACCTTGAGCAGCCCGATGTGTGAAGGGAAGGAGTTGTCGGGTAAAAAGGAAACATCACCATCCAGGAAGAGAGACACAGCCCTCGACGCCGTCTGTCCCGCCAACCTGACGAAATGAAACCCCCCCGAAAGGAAACCACACAAACCTTGTGAAAAATGCTCCGACGGTACTTTGGAAAAACAAATCAGAGACTGACAAAATAAGCAAAGGTGAGAAACAGACAGGAACTGGTAGTATTTTTAGGTTGTGTTTTTTTTAGATCTGCAAGTGTGAAAGAAACTTGAGAACTAATTCAAAGAGCAGCTGTAAGAACAATGGAAACGAGATGCATGATGATGATGATGATGATGATGATGATGAGAAAAGGAAAAGCAAGTGATCATCTATTGTTTTAACTGTTTTCCTAATCCTTTCACCTGACATTGTTTTGTACGTTTTCACATTTAGATGAGTTACTATTGGCAGAAATGGAATAAAA